AGCGTCATTAAGCCGCTGCGCCACCGCATCCCCCTTCCATTACTTATGAGCCACCAATGATGTGTGTGTGTGTGTGTGTGTGTATGTCACTGGCTGTACTTCCTGAATGGTGAGTGCCCCACTTTTGTCAAACCCCTTGAATTGCAGCTGAAAGTCCTGACTTTGCTCCCATCGGGGTGTGTTTCCTTTCAACTTCAGTGTACAGTGGCCAAATGCCAAAACAGTTATCCTTGTTCCAATATTTCTGGTCCTGACTGTACAAAACAGGCCCCATTTGATTCATTTTTTTTTTTTTATGTATTGCAAACAGATGCACTCCTACTTGAAATACTCTTTTGTCACTAACAGCCCCCAGGTGGACATCCAAGAGAGTCAAAAATGTCAAGATGGTGACCATGAGCATGCAATCAAAGCCCCACCTCTTCTAATATGTATTGCTTGTAAGAAAGAAGGTGGGGCTTCAATTGTGGGGTTGAGGTTGCCATCTTGACTTTCTGGACTTTTCTTACGGACACCCCTGAACTCCTCGGCTAAGACCTGGCACCTCCTTTCCCATCTGTAGTGCTGAAAGCTCTCCTTACTCTGTGGCATTTTGTATTTATTTACCCACAAGTAACCTGTCTTGCTCTGGTCCTGAAGTGGAACGCTAGTCATAACAATGTCTCTTTTTAATTTAAGAATATTTACTCATGGACGATTGGTTTTATATAAGGTAACTGCAGCGAGGTTATTATGCACACAAAGATGGAAGAATACAGAAATATCTACAATGGAGAAATGGATCGTGAAGGTGGCAGAGTTTACAGAAATGACAAAATTGACTTGTTTGATTAAGGAGGGAACTACAATTGCTTTTATAAAAGACTGGGACCCCTTTATGGACTTTTTGCTGAAAATGGACAAAAATGAATTGGTCATTTTGATATTTGCAGATTAAAAAGGGTCATTTATGAGAAGAAGGGAACTATGATATGTAATTTGGGAGGGTGAAAATGGTAATCATTACGCTCGCAACTGCTGCAAAGAAGATTTGAAGTCGCTTGTTTAGATATTTTTCTTTTTCCTTTTCTTAGTCTTTTCCTGACTTTCACTTTTTCTTTTACTCTTCCATATCTTTATCTTTTTTCTGCTTTTCTTTTTATGTTTTTGTAGTCTTTTAGTTTTGTGTAAAATCCTTCCTTAATAAAATTATATATTTTAAGAATATTTAATTGAATGTTTAATCGCACGATGGATCTGTTTGCATCTATAAAATAGCTGCAGCTTAAACGTTGCTGGCAGCACGTATTGTCTGAATAAGCAGTTAGAAAGAGATGGAAAGAACAGATCAGTTGCATTTGGTGTAATAGGTCTGTGTTGATTAGTTGTGGAAGCAACATGATGCTTTATATTTCAATGTCCCATTATTCTTTATCTTTCTCTTCTTTTTTTTTTCTCCAAACACAAAGCATCCTGGGCTGTTGCCAATCTGAGTAGAAGGCCAAAGATGAGGTCAATCTCTACCCCCACACCACACACACACACATACATACACACACAGAGGAGAGAAAGAAATGAATAGATGGTGTCTGATTGTAAGCGGCAACATTAATGAATGTACACTATATATCTGTTGCTGTAAGCTGCTGGGAGTCTGGATAATTCATTGTTTTACACAATGAATAAATGATTCCCGTTTTCCTCCCTGCTTTGCTCAAAGCTGATTCCAATTTGTGGATGGGGAGGTAAAGCCATCAACATGCAGATAAAATAAAGAATGGGCTTGTGTGTCTTCCTGATTCTTTGTTCTTTACTGAATAAAGTTACACAGTATGGTGTTGCCTCATTTTCTCAGTAATTTTTTATCTTTCTTTGCTAGGCCTGAATAAATGCCCTGCAAATATTTTTTCCCCTCACTTCACTGGAGTAAATGTAGGCATCTTTTCTATTGTAATATTTAAGGTTTATCCATGGAGAATCTGTCTGGCATGTTCAACCATATCTAATAAGCATTAGTCTCTCCTAGAATAATCTGTGTGTTTAATTAATGAAAATACCAAAGTCATTTTGATGTGAGGGATAAATGCCATTGCAAAGCCAGGGGATTTACATTTAAGTAAGTAAACATAGGTTTAGCTGCCTTCCCACCACTAGGAACTCTGCTGGGAAGTTCTGAATCCTACAAAATTCTCATTTGCTTTCAAGTAAATCTGCTCCAGACAAGGAAATTGGGGTCCTGGAGGTTGGTCTGGAGCCGATTTGCATGGCCCTGCATCTCTTATTCATAATCCTTTTCCTGTACAGACATAACACCCAAATAGGGCTTGTTGTATCTAGTGGGTCTTGTATACTCAGGATTAAATACTGAAATATATCCCCTATAAACTACAGTTGCACACAAAGGTTTAGCCACCTGATTAAATTGTATGTTTCAGTGAATCCCAGAGTGAACAGAAGGTGAACCACCTTGACATGGTACAAACTTAAGGACAACATTGTTCTGCACATTTGAATGTGTACTTGCTCTCTATCTGCAGTTGTTTACAGATCTAAAATAAGAAAACAGTGACTATGACAGCTGCAGAAATTTGGGTATCCTTCCAGTTGATTCAGTGTTACTCCGAAGAAGGAGAAGGAGAAGGAGAAGAAACGATTAAGTTGTTAATAAGGCCCAAAAGATGAATGACTCCTTAGGCTACAAGAAGACATTTCCAGAGGTGAACACTCTGAACTTCACTTTCTCATCTCTCAGGTTGTGATTATTGTTCTGTCTCCTTTCAACAACTGTGGGCTCTTCTAAACAGCTGTCTGAACATTTGAAAGGGAAAATAATTCACTCTTACAAACCAGGTAAAGGCGATAAAAAAATCTATAAATGCTTCCATCTAGCAATTTCAACTTCAATAACTATTGTTAAGAAATGGAAGTTATATAGAACTGTTGGAGTCAAGGCAAGATCTAGAAGGCATACCAAAAAAAACCCTGAAAACTGGTCAGACGTGAAAACTCGCAGATCGCTTGGAATGACCTGCTGACAAGTTAGCTGACCTTGGAGTAGTTGTATAAGCTAAGCTACACAACAATGACCAGCATAGAAGGGTTGTCAGAAGGGACCCTCTTCTCTGACCTTATTACAGGAATCATTGTCTAGGGTACACAAAAGAAAACCTGGATAAACCTGAAACATTTTGGAACAAAATGATTTGGAATGATGAAACAAACATTATACGGTTTGGCCAGAACTACACACTTGTACTACATTTGGAGACAAAAGGAAAGAAGACTTTACCCACTATATAAGGGTTATGCTTTGGTACTGTGTGTGGCACAGGAAATATTGTGTGAATGGAAGGAATATTGGATTCAAATATCAACGTATCCTAGAAGCTAATGTTCTACAGTCAATGAAGAATTTGCAGTTGAAAAGAGATTAAATACTTCAGCAGGATAATGATCCAAAACATATCTCTAGATCAGCCATGAAGTATCTGCAGGAAATAAAAGTATTCATAATATTCAGATTTGCAAATGCATGCAAGGACACCTAAAAATATTTTTGAGCTAGAAGCATTCTGCAAGGAAGAATGGGAAAAAATTCCCAAAGCAAGGCTCTTTGCTGGCTACAAGAAATGTTTGGAAGCTGTTATTTATGCTGAAGAATGTTTTACAAAGCTGTTATTTTACAAAAAATGGATTGAAGGGGTGTCCAAATTTGTGAACCTGCCATATTTTACAGTTTTCTTATTTTGAATCTGTAAACAATTATTCCACACACAAAGAAATAAGGATTCAAATTTGCAGAAATAGGTTATACAGTATTTAACTTGGCTCCATATAGGGGTTGTGTCAGCTACTGTTCATTTAGCGATTCATTTGAAAACGTACAATTTGACAGGGCACCTCAGCTTTGCCTTGCAGCTGTATGGTTCAGTCATAAAACAAATATGTGAAGGAAAAGTGAATGGGTTGAGGGGAAGGAGGAAGATTGAGAAAGTGTGAGTTGAACAGTCAGGATGAAATCCTTGAAAAGAGAGAGGTGAAAGGTTTAAAGAAGAAAAGGCAATGTATTTAATAGATATAGTAGAAGCAATAGGAATAGAAAGGTATGGAGAGATATCGAAGTAAACTAGATTTACTTTAGCTTTTCTTTTCTCCTGCCTTTCTTTGCTTCCTACTTCTTCCTCTTTGTCAATGTTTTACATAATATTGCTTTTCTCAAAGCAGGATGATAGGAAGGTATGCATGTATGTACATTAAAATAAAGATCTTTTTATATTCAGCATGCTGGCAAAACAAATCCCTCAGTGAGATGAACGGCAACGTATGTTTTCCATCAGAATGGCTCCATTTTCCCAGAAAGACAGAAAGTGGCTGTTCTGTTACAACTCAGCTTCATCACCTTCTCCCAGTGCCTCGGCATCTTCATGCTATATTGTGGCACTTTATTCCCAAGAATAGTTCTCTTTCTCTTTCTCTGATGCCCTCCAGGAAGACCCACTCTGAGTAGATATTTTTGTTTCAACTGTTGGGGACGTAAATGAGCTGCTTTTTCTTCCCGTTATGTTCCCGAGCAGAAAGCCTATCACAGCACTTCATCCTTTCAAAAACGCTCAAAACTCGTAATTCAGAAGCAATTATTAGCTGACTGCTATTTAGCTATCAGCAACTTGCAACCATTGCAAAGTTCCAAATTAATAGCAACAAAATGGGAAATGAAACCATTTATTACTCTTGAAAGCCAATTTTACACACTTCTTATGCCTTAAGACGACTTCCTAATCTTATTATTTAAAAAATAATGATCCAGTCTTGGCGTTAGCTTCCTTTTAATTTTTCTTTTCTTTTCTTTTCTTTTTTAAGCCAACCTATCAGATCTTAACTACGTCGCTTTCCAACTGGTTTCAGCAAAAGCTCATTAGAGTTGTATGCTCCATATATTTTTTCATTGGAAGCCTTATATAGTTATAAATCAACAATAACTGTGTGAAATACTCTAATAATGATTGTTTTTCTCTCTGCAGTTAAAAAAAAATGCCAAGGACTTAGAGACTAATGGCCACGACGAAGCTCAGGCAAACGTAAGTACAACTTTGGACCTGTGTTTACTGTTTGCGCTCTGAAATAAAAGTTGGGTTAGTGGATTAATGGTCCTAGGAATGGCAACCTTTCTGTGGCATTCTAGGTTCGCTACCCAGGACGTTTATTTCAAGATAAATGAATTGATCTTTGTTTTTAATCTGCCTTGCAAAATTAACAAGTCTCTGATAAGAAACGGCTGCCTTGCCTTGTTATATTTATCATGGCAAGGTTTGGTAATATTTTTCACTGCTGAGACATTTATATGCGTGGGACTGAGAAACGTACGTAATCAAGTTCATACATACTTTCAACTTTCCGCACTGAATTTTCAGAAGCTGATGAGCTTTACAGCTTTAATTTCAAAAAGATCAGCATTCTAGACCTCACATGAAGACCTCAGGGTTGAGTTGCATTTGACTTTTCTTTGATTTATGTTCATATTAAAAATATTATACAGCATCCAGGGTCTTTCCCAGGGTAGCTGACAATACTGCAGTAAAAACAATAATATAATGATAAGATACAAATAAGAAGACCTCTAAAAAAGAACCCTGAAATACCCAAAAAGCAGATTTAAAAAAAAAACATTATTTATTTAATTCAATTTGGATACCGACCAACTCTAACTGACTCTGGGCAGTTCATAAATAATAACACAGAAACCAATACCAACTCAAAACAAGATGGTATCAGGTCACAATATGCAAAGAGAAAACCAAAATAACAAACACACCCAAGGGGCCCCATCTCTATCACCCCAAAGCCTGGGAGAACAACCAGGTCTTTATGGTTTTCTGGAACACCATCAGGGTGGGGGCCAGATGAATTTTAGGGGGATCTCATTCTGAAGGTCAACCACCATGACAAGAAGACACCATGGCCTATCTTAAATCTGGTGGTGTTCTCTTTATGAGTAATGGATAAATATTTAACCTTTTAACAAAAACCCTATCATTTAATAATTAAGTGCACAATTTGTGCTTATCTGTTAACAATGTATAATTTTATAGTGCTGCATCTTCCTTCCACCATATGTTCTTTAGAGGAGCTGTCCCCCACTGGATACCTTCTAGATATATTGGTCCTGCAATTCCCAGAATTTTGCTGAGGATTCAGGAAGATGCCAGATTGAGAAGTTTGTCTTGATAGATCTTAGTCTCTAGAAATGTCTTAAGATATTAAGGGATGAAGTTTGCAATAATGCCACTTGCACACCAGTGTACAGGTGTCTATGGGGGAGGGGGGTCAAGGAGGAGCAAGTGACATCACAGTTGTATCTATGTCATTGCACAAATGACTTGGGTAGTTTATGGAATTTATATCATTTGCAAAATAAAATCCTGATGCATGTGATGTCATCATGGTTTGAGCCAAATGCCTGTGCCCCAGTGATGGCCTGTCTCACAGTGCAGAAAAGCCAGTTCTATGCAGAGGCATCTAGGGAACCCCTGTGGCCCAGGGAAATGAAACGCCCATGGCTGGAATATGATAGGAGCCAGAGTTCAATGCAAATTGGGAAAAGAAGCTACCTTAAAATATTCTGGTACCCATACTTGGTCTTTGTCATAGAGTTGCCCTGAAGTATATTAATTTGAAAGTATAATCCTCCAAATAGAACTCACTTCTTAAATGCAATGGAGACTGAGAAACTGCTCCCCAGATATACTATCTTTCCGTTTCAATTGCATCATGCAGAGCCTGTCGATTGGTAAAGGAGAAGCAATTTCAGTGCCTCATTTTCAGTTGCTTTCCATTAATTTTTAAGGTCCCTGAGAATAGAGGAAGAGGGTATAATGACCCTTGGTATAATGCTTGGTAAAATTACTCCACTTGATATAATTCTCTTCCGTTCTGTACATACTCACAGGGAAGGCAAAGCCAGAACCTAGACCTCCTCTCTTCTTCCAACATCTTCCCATTTTGTCAGGGCATACAGAGCAAAAGCTCCCAGTTCAATACTTGGCATCTCATGGTACACTAGAAAAGAACTCTCCCTCCCTCCCTCCCTCCCTCCCTCTGTCTCTTTCTCTCTTTCCCTCTCTCAGAAATCCACTTTGATACTGCCACTCACTTAGACAGGCTAATGGTCCAACTTAATATCAGGCAGTTCCTTGTTGATTTAGCTTCAGCTCTACCATCAGCTGATGCTGTCAACTGAAAACCCTAATCAGTACTACTTGGCCATCCTTCCTCCCACTTCATTTGCCCATCAACTGCTCCAAAGATGACCGAGGCAGACCAGAAAGAAGAGGAGTAGGAGTTTTCTCCCCAGGCTGCTGGGCAGCAAACCACTTGGTGAAGGACAAACTACCCCTGAAAGAGGATGCAAAAGAAGGCACCTCAAGCTAAGCCATGGGCTTTGTTGGCATGTCCCAAAGGAAAGAGGTGTGGGCTCCTTTCTTCCATTTTGTTCCCCAACATTTGCATGACCACAGTCATGGATTTGGAAATGGTTCCAGAGAACTGTAGGTGAGAAATAGAGAGGTATACCCAAAGAGTACTATTAATAATAAATAATTGGGAAGGTTTCATTTGCTGCAGGAATGAAGAGGATGGATGGGTGGATGAAGTGCATACTGTGACAAATACTTCTTTAAAATACTGGATATTTAATTTAATATGTTGGGCGACTTGTTGGAGAAAGTGAATTACAGAATTACATATATTAATAAGGGAAGTTTACAATCCTTTATCCCTTGAGGCTTGTCTCTGAGTGTTTGCAGATCAAAATGTCTAGAGAGGAAAGGATTGCCTAGTTCCCGCATGGTTATTAGTGGCCTGTAATGCATTTAATGGGATTAGTACCTATTTGATACAGTTGACAAGCTGGATTTAGCAAATACCCTCATAGTCAGTGCAAGATCAGTGTCTCATCAGCCAGGAAGTACAGAGATATTCCTTCTGTAGTTTAGAAAATCTTTGAGTGGTTATTTTAAAGGGAAAAAAGGAGCGGGTTCTGACAATTTCCCCCTTTTTTTTTTTTTTTTTTGCTCATATTTTACATAACAGAGATACAGTGAATATTGGCCTACCTATTCCAATTGTGGTGTTGAAAAGAATTTTCCCTAAGGGTTTATGAAGCTCTTTCTGCTTCAGAATTGTTCTTGATAAGTAACTTTATGGTTCCTTTCCCTGTTTTTAAAAAAAGGGAAGGGAAGGGAAGGGAAGGGAAGGAAAGGAAAGGAAAGGAAAGGAAAGGAAAGGAAAGGAAAGGAAAGGAAAGGAAAGGAA